GGAGAGAAACTTTGATTTGTTGTTCCACTTATTTATGCATTTATTGGTTGATTCTTGTATATGCCTTGACCGGGGATCGAACCCATAACCTTGATGTATTGGGACAATGCTCTAACCAACTGAGCTACCTGGCCGGGGCTAAAGGCAAACTTTTGCATGCTTCTATGGTAACAGAGAAACAACAGCGTCCCCGACAGACCCGTGGTGAAAACAGCAGGCCCTCAGTGTGTGGGGTTGTGTTACCTGCTAGGGCCAATCACAGTATTCCCATGCTGGTTATTGGTGGAATTAGCACTATTGATTTATAGAGCTTGACTCCTTGTTGCCATGGGCTGGTCGCAGTAGCCCCACAAAGTTTGCGTCGTCATCCTTTAGCAAATAAAATCACACCCCACGTGCAGAGGAGGTAGCCAAAGGTGAAGCACAGCCACTGAGTCGGCAAAACACTACCTGTCTTCTGGCTGCTTCTGGAGCCCCCGTCTGAAAACCGAGCCTGGAGTCACTGTTTCAGAGCATATCCCAAATCCACGCAACACCCGTCCGCCTCTTGAAATGCTCTCTTGAAGATTTCTGGGTCTTGGAAACCCAGACAGCATTTAACCCCAGTGCCTCCCCTCCCCCACCACACCGCCCCGGCCAGCCTTGACGAGCTGGCGACGGAATTCTCCTTCCCCTCCAGGCGGCTGAGCGGTTTGGGGAGGGGTGGTGGAAACCTGACCTGCACCACCCCCTCTCCTCTTGCTGTCCTCTAAGAGGCTTCAGAACTCGCTGTCTTTTCAGCACCCACAGAGTCAACAGGTCACTTGTGAACACGGTCCCTTGGCCACCCACGTTCCCGTCTCCTGTGACGTTCAGATCTGTACGGGGGGGCAGTAACTTCAGGAGAAGGGACGCAACCCCACAGGGATCCTGCTTCTCTCCCGTGGGGCTGTCCCGCTGGGAATATGAAATACAAAAATAAACTCAAGCCTGGCATTTTCAATGGGCTACTTTAGGATGCGAGGGCCCAGATATGAACTGGCTGGTCAGCCCGCGCATCGCCCTGCTGATAAGGCGTCTCTACGCCATTGCTATAGTGCCTGCATCTTTATTTTTTTTTAATTAAAAAAAAAACAAAAAACAAAAAACTATGATGTGTTCTCATTTCTATGCAAAGAAGACACGACCTGACCCCCTCGCTGGAGCAGCTGACGGCAGTGCTAATGTTGATGATAGTATACCACCGCGTGGGTTCCCCGCCCTCGCGCTGGGCGTCTACCTCATGTTGACGTCACTCCGAACCCCGGCACTACTTTTTTCCCCCCTGGAAAAAGTGCTGTCTCTAATACAGTGGAGCCTTCGCAACTTTCCCATGAAATTCTCCATGTGTTTGATTGAGCAGAGGCCTCAAGGGACCAGTCCACACCGAGGGTTACATTAGAGAGAGTCCTGGCCCTCTGGGGTCCTGCTCCCTAAACCCCCTTAACTCGGCATTCTTGCATTGTTTCTTGGAAGATGCTGGAAGGTTGTGCTGCAAATAAAACACTGACGTGACCAGAGGTCCGATGGAAAATCGTGCTCAGCAAAGTGGTGCATTTGGACAAGGATTAGCTGTACAGTCTTTTTTCCTGCTGCTCTAGCAGCCTCTGGCAGCAGTTCTCAGAAAGAGATCATTTCCTGCTTGCGGTGGGTACATTCTAGAAGGCTGATGAGGGTGCTTGACTCCCCAGCCAATGTTTTCAGTGGAGAGTTATATTTTCAGCCAGTATTATCATAAGCCAAACAACTAAACATTTTAAAAGGCCTTGCGTTTTATTTCATAATTTCCTGTCTTAATGGAAATCTTGTTCTTAAGTCCTAATGGAAAAAAAAAATCTGCCATAAACAATACGTTGCTTAGAAACCTGGGCCCATCATTTAGTTTTTCTATGCTCTAAGGGCAAGCAGCCAGTGGCTTGTATAAAAATAAAGCAAGGTTGCTTTGTGTATGCATTTAAAACATCCTTGTCTGTGCTAATTTGTTTCTTCCTTCTGGGCACAGTCATCCTTTTTCTCCGCTTCCACCGTAGTGCTGCCACCGGACAGACAGGCTCTAGACGAATATTCTCCCTCATAACATATATTTATCTGCGCTCCCCCCTTCCGGGCTGATGCAGGGCAGCTTAAGGTGTATCTAGTATCAAAATAAGATAACTTTTTTTTAAAGATTTTATTTATTTTTAGAGAGGAAAGGGAGGGGGAAAGAGAGAGAGAGAGAAACATCAATGTGCGGCCTGCTGGGGGCCGTGGCCTGCAACCCAGGCATGTGCCCCGACCGGGAATTGAACCTGTGATGCTTTGGTTCACAGCCCGAGCTCAATCCACTGAGCTATGCCAGCTAGGGCTCAAATAAGATAACTTTTAAAAGCACGGAGATACATATAAAAACAGAAAGGGGAGAAAGGTGATATAGTTCGGTCCTCTAAGCCTCCCTCTGCCGAGACAGCCACTGCTGACAGCTTGGAGCACGTACAGGGTCTGGCGGAAGTAACGCCTGCCTGAGGGTGGTCGGTAGGGCAGTGATATGGGTGCAACAATGCATAGTTTTAAGGTGAACGTTTTACCTGAAATGTCCTGTGCTGTGCTTGAGTGCGATATTGTTATGTTACGGAATCCCACGCTTATGATTTTGTAATAAAAAAGGTGCCTGATTTGGGCCAGACCCTGTATTCCTGATCTCGAGAGCGTGCACACGTACCTACGTGGACGTAGGTAACGTACCCTCTACAAATGGAGCCATACATACTCTGCAGGCTCTGAAGTGTTGCCTTCCGTCCCCACGTAGCTGCACAGCGGGCTGGCTGCAGTGTGAGTGTGTCCGGGGCGGGGCGAGGCGGGTTCCTCTCCTGGCAGCCATGAGCAAGGCTGCCCTGACCACGCCTGCCCAGGGGTGGGGGAGCTCTTCCACGGCACCCCCGGGCGAGGTCTTCAGCAGTGGGGCGGGGGGTGGGGGCCGGGGCCTGGCCAGAAGGCTGGATGTGCGCCAGCAGAGGGGTGTCAGGTGGCACTTCCTGTCCCTGCGCCGTCACCAGCTGGCCAGGGACCAGTTCCCTGGTGCTGGGATGGGCATGCGTGTGCTTTAGCCTCTTGTGTCGGTTAATCCACTCTATTTTCTTTCTCGGGAATCGCCCTTTCATGGCGTGGGTCCCTTTAGCTCCCTTTCTGAGGGTGGTTCTTTTCGCTTTGAAGACAGGAATCCGTTCAGTGCCCCAGGTGGTGAACACATCCTCCCCAGAGTGGTTCCCCTTTCCACTTTACCCATAGCTGTTTCGGGGCTCCCTGGTGGTCATGGAGCCTGAGGGAGGGCCGGGGGCCGAGGCTCTGCACCTTTCCCTCAACGCAGCTCCAGCCCCAGGTCTGTGTACTGTACAGAACGCCAGGGGGGACGTGCAATGAAATAGGCTCCCCGTCAGGCACAATTTGAAAACCCTGCAAAACATCCATCGAACAGGGAAACGCAAATCCCACTAAAAGATACCACCACACACCTGCCGGCAGGGCGAAAGCCGAGTATCGAGTGTTGGCAAGGATGCTGAGCCGCTGGAAATCTCATCTGCTGCAGGCGGGCGTTTATGGCTGGGCCGCTTTAGAAAACTGCATGTACGAAAGTGAACATAAACAAACGTACAGGCCCATCAATCTCGCATGACACGGTCATTCCACCCCCAGGTGTATGCCCAGCTCAAACCTGCGCAGGGTGCCAAAGACGTGCTGAGCGCGTTCGCCGCGGCACCTCCCTACCAGCACGGGCCTGGAGATGGTGCAAGGCCTGTCCGCCTGGAACGGAGGAGGACGTGCCGTGCCTCCACGCGGGGGCACTCGGGAGCGAACGCGGGTGCTCCCTGCCACGGTGAACAAGCCCGACCCCAGAGTGCGTGCCCCGAGGTTCCGCACAGCCGGTGTCTCCGCAGAGCCCACCGCCAGGCAAGGCTAGTCTGTGGTGCTAGACGATAGGGCTGTGACTGGGAAGGGGCACAAGGTGCAGCTTCTGGGATGTGAGTGACATCCAGGTTTTCAGTGTGAGCGGTGGTTTATGTGGCTGTGTCTTTGTGAAAACTGATAGAGGTGGACACAGGATGCGTGGCGTTTTCTGTACGTTATACGTCAAAAAAGAAGAGAAGAGGGCAATAACCCAATAAAACACCAACCTGGTGACCAAGTTATTCTGACTGAATCAGACAAGGACCCTCAGGGGGTGGCTGTTGAGAGCTGGTCGCAGGGGAGTGCTTCTCTCCGCCTCTGCTGCGCCGAGTGCCCGTGGACGGGCACGGCTATCTGCCGAGGGACGGCACCACACGCGGCGGGCTCTCTCGCCTTCCCGCTTCAGAAAGGTAACGCAACTCAGGTCAAGGGCTTTGTCTGGACCCACGCAGCCTCAAAAGGGGCTGAGCTGAGACTCGACCCCACGCCTATCTGTCCCAAACCCCATCTGGGTCCCTCATTGGGACAGGTCGGTCCTCTCAACACAACCACACAATGTAGACAGATGTGCTTCTGTCTGAAAGAGGGGGCTCCTGGAGAACCCGAGTGTGAGGTCCTGCCGTGGGCAGGGAAGGGCACAGGGGGACTCCGGGGGTAGTGTCCACACCGGGAGAGGCACTAGCGGGCACCTTGGATGAAATCCCCCAGGATGGATGGATGGATGGGTCACGGTGGTGTAAAGCTTTCCCCCCCAGGGACCAAGCAAGGCGCCCCACTGTTCCTGGATTTCCTCCCCACCCCTCCAGCACCCCGCCCCGCCCTATTGTAACGAGGACGGACACCGGGTCGAGGAGAGGGGGAGGGCTTGTGTGCGAAGATGCAGGAAGGGGGGCTGACTCGATGCACACATACAGCTCGCTGCTCGCCAGACACCGCGGCTGCCGGAGTGCTGCTGTTTCAGTCCCCAAAAATCCCGCCGAAACGGCTTCAGAGTATTTGGTTGAGAAAGACGTGTGATGCACGCTGCCACGGAGAGAAACCATTTGAAAGGCAAACGCGTGTACTTATAAACATAGCCTTTTATTAACAAAACGTTTACACCCTGCTTACAATACAACAAATTTTGTAGTGACTTAGCACGTGACCCTCTATAAAAGTTGAAGACAGAATATTCCAGCTAAAACAATACAGTTTTAAAGTATACCCAGTCAACCACCACTGGTGAACTACCTACCACCAGCACAAGTGAAAACAGAAAAATCTTACAACAAAACCCCAAAGATCTAGTTTTCTTTTATCCGCATCTACAAACAGTACAGACACCATATGGTTTATCTGCAGACTCAGGTCCAGCCCAAGGTTATGACTGCAAAAATAAAGTCTTTAAACATCCCTAGAAGCTTGGCAGACCGTCAGGACGACATTTCATCACAGGCAATCAAGCAATGCGTCATGCAGGGCAGCCACGGCGGCGGATCTGGGCTGTGGACGGTGCTACCAGCGGCCCGAACCGGAAGCCATTCGTTTTCCTCTTTTCATAATAGACACTATTATAAAAAGGCACGGATGTCTTACCCCTCGCATCGGGTCTCGAAGAGGCATGACATTCTTAGGAGAAATAAGAATTGCTGGTATGACGGATTCACTTTTTTTTGTTTTTTTAATTTAATGTCTAGGCTCACTTCCATACTCCGTAGCTGTTTCCCTTCAAGACTATGCCCTTGGACCTGTTACGTCCTTTGGCAAGCCGCTCTATGACAGACTAAGCAAAGTTCTCACACGCCATCTCCTCGCCTATGGTAGGACGCATTTTGTCCCTTGGTCCTGTTGCCACTGTGAAGTTAGTGTTGCCCCCGCCTCTGTGGAAATAGGGGAGTTCTGCACCCACAGTTAGCTGTGTTTTGTCACGGCCCTGGCCGTGTCTCGCCTCCCTGGGCGGACGTGGCGAGCACACCCTACCTCTGTCTGCACGGAAGGCAGTGCAAGGAATGTCACGGGCGCTAAGGAGGTGGCCGGTGCCCCGCGCCTTTAAGGGAGAGACCACCGCAAAATGAGAAGGAGAGAAATAACGCGAGAAAGCGGCTTCGATCGACCACAGAGAAGGCAGGACATCCACTCTCTGAGAAGGCCGGAGGCACGACTGACAGCGGAGTGAGATGGTGGGCAGACGGGGCTGCATGGGAGTGAAGAAGAAAATCTTTTCTGGAACAATACAGCCGTGTGTACACAGTACAAGACATGGTTTGAAAAACGGAGCCACCCGTCGGCTGCCCTGACTAGCCGGCTGCTGCTTTGCCCGCGGTGTACTGACCAGTCTCTGTGACGACATGTGCGTGGTCCATGAGGTTAAGGAGAAGTTTCATGTTATGTGATAACTGCACGTGGAGAGTGACGGGGCACGCGGACTCGAGCTCTGCTTTTGCAAATGCTCGGGGGTAACGCTGAGTACTCACAGGTAAGTTCAGGGAAAACATCCATGAAGGAGGACCAACGAGATGAGGACTAAGCCCCAAACTGAGGTCACACGCCGCCACGTGCCGACCGTGTCCGTGAGTGGGCAGGTGCACTTCCCGCCGGCCCCGGCCCCGCCTCCCTTGGCCTTTCCGACCGCGTGGCAAGACTTTGAGGGAGTTTCCTGGGCAATTTCAGTTCTGAGTAACAATGATCAGCCCTGGGCACTAACTGCTGTTTTAAAAAGAATTTTCTCCAAAGTAGCACTGATATTAAACAAATTGCTTCTGGAAACATGGAGAAGTTCCTGAATCAAGAAGTGGCATCAAAACCGGCATGTTTTGTTACTTTTGCATGATGAAGAACAGTTAAGGTCTACTGTTCAAAACTGCCAATTAAAGAAGGATCTTTGAAAAAATCATTGCTGTCTTAGGATTTCCCATTAATTGGCTCAATTCTTGGCACTTGAATTCCAGTTCATGGGAAGCAACCCAGAATTTTGTTTGTTTCAATTATGAAACATTCTGGTGGGTCACCGGGCACTGTACGTCTCTGAAAATGAACTGGCAATAAATTGAATATTCTTTTGTTGTTGTTGTTACATTTAAGGCTCCATGATTTTTATTCCAGTCTCTACTAATGACACATTCTAATCTCACTATCTAAAATTTCCAACGTAACAGAAAGATGAAGGTTTTCCTTTTTATTAAACCTCTGAATCTTTTTGTTTTGCAGCCCCAAATATTCTAGCATATCCATAATTGATTCTATTCTAAAATGAAAGAACACAGATATTATTTCTGATGGTGCAGACCATCAAATTAAGGTTGATCTATTCTCCTGGAAGTCCTTCTCAATTTGGGAAGTAAATAATTTTCCTATATGTTGAGAGAACCCTGAAAGACAAACTGAGAAATGCAGACATTCTTGGTTCTATTTACTCACTTTCTTCATTATGTCTAATGAAACTTCATCAGCACAAGCCTCTCACCGGTCCTTCTCTCGAACTGAAAGAGTGGAGGTTCCTGAAAATGTAATACCCTTCTAATCTTTTTTAGACTTTCACTTGCACAAAGAACAGGACAAACGCCCCAGAATTCCATCAATGTTTCTTGCAAACCGGATGACCCAATTGCCTGGATTTCTATTACTGGAAGTCAGGACAAGTAACTCCGCTGTCAAGACAAGCTGGCAGAGGCTGTTTCTTTCAGCCCTGAGCTCAGCCCCACCCCCACCCCCCCCTTTCAGAGCGGCACGGCGCAATGCCCACCGTGTGCAGAAGCTGTTGCCTGGACTATTCTTTAGCTCCTAAACATTACCTTGAGTTATTTGAAAATTTCTGATGGACTCAGCTAATTGAAGGCAGGAATGCAGTAACAACTTGACCCTTGAAGATACATTCCATTTCTCTCTTTAAAAAATATTAACCGTTAAGAGGTAGACTGTCTCTTGAAGTGAACAGTAAACAGCAGTCGTGCTGCCAGTCCCTCTGAAACAAATGGAAACAACAAAGGCTTTTTTACGGGTGTACCCTGCCTGGCTTATTGTTAGGAGGTCAGGAGGAACGCTGAGGACAGCCCAGGGTGCCTGGAGAGGGCAGCCTGCCGGAGTGTGGGGGCCCTCGCCCCCCCAAGAGTGCAGAGGCAGGCACCTAGGACAGACCAGAGCGGAGGGACGTCCGTGAACCATTCTCCAGAAGGAGCGGACTCCCTCATCACGGCCACGGGTTCTTGCAAAGACACCTGGATGTGTCACGCACAGAACACGCTCTGCGCCACTATCTCACGCCCTGCGGGGCCACGAGTCACGTTTTCAGCTGTGAAGCAGTGAGTGAGGAAGGCGTATAGGAATTAGTGTAACCTCCTTTGCGATGCTCTCTCAGAATGTGGCAGATGCACACGAGCAAAGGCCTCTGCGAGTTCCCAGGCCCACCTGCCCGCCGGCACAGCGGGGCCCGCACCGAGCCTGCCGCGCGGGCGCCCTGCCGCGGGGGAGCTGCGGGCCGGCCAGCGACCGGGCGAAGCCCACGGCAGCCTCTCCCGGTTCCCTCCAGAACGCCTCCTATGCTCACTTGCCTTCTGGAGCACAGAAAAGAGACAAAGACCAGACTCAAAGAGACGCTGAGAAATGACACGTGATTTTCTTTCCCTTTTTTATATATTTAAAAATGATGAAAACTGATAGCCTCAAGGACGACACCAGCCCCTAGGAGATCACGCCTCTCAAGCAAAAGTCTCCATCCTTTCCAAGGGGGGGGGGCGGGGGCGGGGCAGGCGCTTCAAGCAGAAGCTTAAGCGGGCAAGAGAAGCGGTCACTTTGCAGGGACACCGTCTTCCCGTCGCGGCGTGGAGACCCGGCCCTGATGGAGGTGAGCAGGCCGGTGACGGGTTCGTTTGGAACCTGAAGGGCCTGCACAGGGGCCCTTCTCCCCAGTCACTTCTTAAGAGAGAGATTACAGTGAAGGGCACTTGATCACACTCTTACTTTGTTCTTTTAATCACCAAATGGTAGTTAATTAGCCATCAGAGGATCAGAGAAGCACTTGTGTGTAAAGAGACTTCTGGAGACCCACGGTTCCTGGGATTAGACACCTGCAAAGAGCTTATTTCAGTGTCTCCGAGAGGAATCAATACACATTTGCAGCTACCTAATTAATGGTGTTTCTCTTTCCAGTCCCTAACATTAAAAAAAATGGCCCCGTGTCATACGGGAACCAAAAGAAGACTTCTGTAGATGGGTTACCCCTCAGCTCCTTGAGAGCTGGCCCTTCTCCTGAGGAACACGAATCAGGAACACGTGAAATGTGTGTTAGATCGTGGCTCAGTGAGGCTGACACCCAAAGTGTGTTCAAGATAAAACACTGCTTCAGGCCTGAATAATCATCTTCGCGTTTCATAAGCAAACAAGACGAAGGAAAGCGTTTTCCGCTCTGTCCCCCCCGGGCAGGGACTACGCATCGGGGAGAGCGCGCTGGCGCTGCAGGTGAGGAGCGAAAAGACACCGCGAGAGAGACGGTGTCGCACCACTGTCCGGGGCGGCTGCTGGCCACGAGGGGGCAAGAGGCCCCGGCCGAGCAGGGGAGCAGCCGGGCTGCAGAGCCGCACGGCACCCGTTCTCTGGGTAAACACGGGCTCCGACCAGAGGGGACACTCTCTCCGCACGGGAGGTGCCGCAGAAATGCCAAGAAACCGGCTGCGGGCTGCCGGGACGGGTCTGTCTGGGGCCGGACAGTCAGCGCCACGGCAGGAGCAGAGGCACTCGCGCGCCCCGTCGGCGAGGGGCGGCACGCAAGCGTGTGCTTTCCCCTGCGCACCCAGACATGGTGAAGCACTGGGAAGGTCACAGGTCTGTGTCATCTTTTGGTGAAGCAGGAGAGAAAGGGCCATGCACGCACTGCCCCTGCAGGAATGAGTCAAGCAACCTGTTTTTATTTTGCTGTCGTGGAGACAGAGGCCCAGAGAGGGAAGGCGAGGGACGCATCGCGCCGCGGCCAGGCGCCCAGCCCATCCGGGCGCACAGGAAACACGGTTCAGACACCTCCAGGTGCAGGAGCCCAGTCCTGGGAACCCCCCTCCTTCTCTCCGAGCTCACGCTGCGAAGGAAGCCAAGTGCCGCGGGCGTACGGCGTCCACACGTGTTTTAAACAAGGCCACGTTAGGATGTTCACTAACTACGCTCCTTCCGTCTGATTTCAGTAAGAAAATAAACAATTTCAAATGCTTAAGATAGTCACCAGAGTAAGGAACTGTTTTTTCTTCTTTTTTTACTTCATCTGAGTTATAATTTTCCCATTAAAATCTGCCCATATCAAGTGGGATACACAAAGAAATAACAATTATTTTTAAAAGTTTCGACTGTTCAGTTTAAGGAGAGCTCTGAAAACACAATTTAGCTTGAAATTCAAGCTGTTTCACTTCCTATTTAATCTTGTGAATCTCCTTCCCTTACGACACTCAGGTTGGAAGGGCGCCCGGTTAGACCAGGAACGAATTCTCACCACGTCCCTTCAGTGCTTCAGTTTTAGGTTACACTGAAACCCCATTGGGCTCCCTGAGGGAAAGGAGTGTTGACCACTGACAGAGGCGGGGGCGGGGGAGGAAATGGAGAGACAAGCTAAGTTGTTAGCAAGGAAAGCTCTCTTCCAACAGTTGGTCTGGGGCTGCCGTGGGAGCAGAAAGAAACTTCACACCAAGACCAGGTAGGTGACTTGAGCTCAGGCTTAATATTCCCCCCGAGGCTAAGAAGGGCCAGCCTGGCCGCCGAGTGGCCTCTGTCCACATCACGCCCCCCAGATGGGATCTGCAGGGCAGGGCTGGGCGGAGGGGCGGAGAGACCTCGGCGCACGGCGCTCACTGGCGCACGGCCATGTGCCTGCAGCGCTTCCCGCCCACGAGGGGGTTGGGCGTGTGCAAAGCGGGCAAGGTTACGTGGAATGAAACAGAATTTATTCGTGTATTTACATAATTTATACTTTTTAAGCAACAGTCTCATAAATATAGGCTATAACTTTACACAGGCTAAGCAACTGATAATTGTTTTCACCACCAAAATATTTGGGTTCAATAAAAAATTGACAGCATTTACATCACTTTCTTTTTCCTCGTTTTTAAGCCAGTTGGTCAGGTTAAACATGCCATTCGGTTTATTCCAGGCCGCTTCTCCCCACCGCCATCCTGGTCACGAGAGCTTGTGACAGGAGGCGCCAGTGATGACTTTGGGGACACACACACAGGGCAGGGCCCAGGCGCACGGCGGGAGCGAGCGCGGCCGTGGTTCCCGGGGACCCGCCGAGTGCGTCTGGGCTGACGTACGCGGCGGGAAGGGCTCTGGACATGGCGGATGTAATCATTTCCATCCGTCCCGTAAATGACCAATTCACCCTCAGGTAATAATTGCCATCCCTCCACTTAACAGCACCCCACCCCATTTTAAATGATACAACTCCCCAGAAGCGCGGTAATGGGAAACCACGGAGATTATAATCTCCACGAGGTCTTCTTTCTCTCAAGAACCAGAAAGTGCTCGTTTTCCCTTTACAAAATGTTACATGAAATCTTGATTATAAAACTACTCAACAGTTGGATCCTACCATCCATACAATTACGTGTTCCTTTCCGCAAGGTCAAAGCCAGCGAGGGGGCCCCTGGGAGCAGGGAGCCCCCGCGCAGCCCGGTCCGCAGACGGGGTGTCACTGCTGCAGCCCTCCCCGAGGAGAGGGCTGACCGATTCCGCGCCTCTTTCTTGCACGAAGGAGACCCCGGCCCGGCCCGGCGAAGCCTGGCGGTGGGCCCCCAGCCCTCGTGTCAGCTTTCAGGACCACCTACTTCGTCGTGGGTCCGGGGGGCGGGGGGAGGCGGAGGCTCGGTCAGCAGCAGCTGCGCTTCGGCTCGGAGGGCTGCCTGCGGAGTTTGAAGCCCTTCCCGCCGTACGGCGGGCTGGAGTCGGTGGACGGGATTCTCCGGCCTGCGAACGAGAGGAGAGGGGGAGGGGGTGAGCTCGACCTTCCCAGGTCCGCTCACGCCCGGACACGACAGTTCTGCGGGCGCACTCTGACGCGTTTCATTAAAGCTTATTAAACTGTCCCTTTGGGGATGCTCTCGAGTCTACAGAACAGTCGCAAAGATCACCCAGACAGCTGCCGTGCGCCCCGGCCCCATGTCCCCCGTGTCACTGCCCTCAGCGGCTGCGCGACATTCGCCCACAGCGGAGTCGACACTGGCGCGCCGCTGTTAACCGAACTCCAGACTTCTTTCGGAGGTCGCCGGTTCTCCGTTAGTGTTCCGTTTCCCTGACAGGGACCATGTGACCATCACATGGCATTTAGTGACATTTTCTTTAAAAAAATCACCTGTTAAAAACATTCTGAGGAGGTTCCGTGCACACACGGTGAAAGGATTCATGGCGACAGGCCCGCCCGCTGCCCAGCGACGGGGCACAGGCACACGCGGGGCCCACACCTCCACCTGCCCCCTTCCTAGGCCCCGAGAGGAGCGAGCCGTGGGCATGGCTGTCCAGCCCCTGCTGTCTTCACCACGTGCCCTGGGACTGTCCCCGCGCGCGGTTTGGAGAGCTGCCGCCTTCTGCTCGATAGCTCAGTGGCACTGCGGGGCACGGGCGTACTGCAACGTAAGGGTCCCCTCGTTGGCGGATATCTGGTTTGCTTGCGATGTTCTGATGCCACCAACGATGACGCAGAAACATCCCTGTGGATCTGAGTGGGCGCGCTGGAGGCGTTAACGGAGTGGGAGAGCCGGGCCACACTACTCCACTGCGCGGCACCGCCGACTCATGCCCTGCGGCCCAGAGGCTGCCCGGCACGGCTGCGGGGAGGACGTGCACCTTCCGCGGTGACAGAGGCCGCCGAGCTGCTCCCCGAAGAGCCCGTGCCGCTCCGTCCTCCACCAAGGACGCACGAGAATGAACAGGTTCAACTCCTGTGCTCCACGAGCGTAATGTTAATTTTGAGGGAAACCTCAATCACCCCTCCGCCCACCTCGCCGACAACCTCCGAGCTGCATCTCGTACAAGGCCTTCCTGACCCCCCACCCCCCTCCGAACCCCCCGACACCTCAGGCGGTAACACGCACCGGGGGCTGGGAGCACGGGGCCGTGCACCTGTTCACGCAGCCACCCCCCCACAGCGGACCCTCGGGGTGTGAAGGCAGAGACCCCGCTGCCCCACTGCTGTCCGCAGGGCCGGCTGCGCAGCCCCTGGCGCGGGGGTGTCTGACGGTGCGAACTGGCACGTGCGTCCGGGGCGTGAACAGGCCGCAACACAACCCGCAGGCTCTGGGGTCCCTGGTCACCAACCCCGGAGCCTCCAGCCTGCAGAGCACCCAACCCTGGGTGGGTGGCACCCAGCGCGGCGTCTGTGCAAGTAGAAAGCGTCCCCCGTGTGTCCTACCACTGTTTTTCAAATGCCTATACACGCTGTTGCGAGTGAATTACAAGTTAATTTAAAAGCTTTACTGAAGCTTCTTGTCATTACATATTTCTCAATAAACAGATAATGGAAATACAGCTGGGACCACAGAGTCATCTCTGAAACGTTTTTAAAGACTTTATTTTTAGGGAGAGGGGAAGGGAGGGAGAAGGACAGGGAAGAAAACATCGATCAGTGGCCTCTCGCACGCGTACGTGCCCCGGCCGGGGACTGAACCTACAACCCGGGCACGCGCCCTGACCGGCCACGGAATCGGTGGCCTTCCGCGTGGCGGGACGCCACCCCGCCGCCCGAGTCGCACGGCGAGGGCCGTCTCTGGGACGTTTTTAGAAGGGAGGGGGAGAACACCTTCCTGACCAGGAACAAGCACTGCCTTCCCCCCCAGAGCCACGAGTGCTGCCCCCGAAGGAGCGCGAGGGTCGGCGGGCCCCATCGGGGCGAAGGAGCCCAGCCACCCAGGAGCCGGCCCGGAAACGGACGTCAGGCCGCGGAGCAGAGGCCTGCCCGGGGCGCACAGTCAGCGGTGAGCCCCCCACCCACGGGGCAGCACCAGCACTCGGGAGAAGGCAGGAGCTGAGCAGGAAAGCCGGCGAAACCTCACGAAAGAGGACGTCCTGAGCGTGCTGGTGTCCACGCCCGCTGGACACGCAGCGGGAGGCTGAGAGAGTGGAGACCTGCACGAGCTCAGAACCGGGAACAGCCGCCCCGATGCCCGTCGACAGGACGGCCGGCCACCGTGCGGGCAGGCACCCCGCCCCCCCCAGCTCCGTCGCTGACGGGTGCCCCGCAGGGACGGGAGGGGCTGTGAATGAACCAAAAGTGCGTGCAGAGGTAAGGAAGCCAGGCGCAGGGTCAGTTCAGTGCGTTTTAAAGCACCGTAAAACATGGAAACGGGCAAAAAAGAATCAGAAGAGTCAGGAGTCAGGACAGTGGCTCCCTTGGGGGTGGGGGGGTGCTCCTGGGGTAGCTCGGCCTCGCTCCGTGCAGATCCCAGGGGCGCCCTCTGCCGGCGAACGTGCCGTGAGCGTTCCTCTTCGGGCGCGAGCACTGACACTGACACACTTTGGGCGCGAGCACTGACACTGACACACTTCGGGCGCGAGCACTGACACTGACACACTTCGGGGGTGAGCACTGACACACTCAGTCACACTTTGGATGTAAGCGCCCACACTCACTCACACTTCGGACGTGAGCGCCGGCAGCCGGCAGCGAGCAGGCCGGCGCAGTGCCGACGCAGCTCCACAGCACCTGGCGCACGAACGCCTCACTCTCCGTCTCCCCGTGTGTCTCTCAGCTTTGTGAGCATTCCTGTTTTTTATTTTTCACAGTTAAAACGAGTACGTGCATGCTATTTTCTGTCTAAGGATTTTCACTGTTAGTATCGTTCGCTGCTGTCCTGTTGGTGCCGCCAGACCGCAGGCCACGTGAGAAAGAAACAGCTCTGGCGCACGTCTGATACCGCACACTTAGACGTTTTGACTTCGACTGTGAAAAGTTCCTCCCTGGCCTCAGGTGCCTCCCAAGAACGCATCTGGATGACCGCTCTTTACCATCCGGGAAGACAACGAACATCCTGGCTGTCTAACGTGGAAGTGAAGGGGTCGGCCAGGGGGCTGCACGCCGGCAGACGGGCTGGGCAGGGTGCACGGTGCTCTCAGAACAGCCGAGCTCCTGGCCAAATCTGAACAGTAGGTGCGTGCTACATAAACCCCAGATCGCCGGTGCTCTGAGGAAACCGAGAGCATCAGAAACAAATCCCACGACAGAAACAGCCCCAGCAACGGGCAGCCAGAGGCGTGCACTCCAGTGCGGCCCCACCGCCGACAGGGGCCCCAGGGCGCCGGGACTGCCCGACGGGTGGGCTGGCCGGCCGCGGCAGGCACTGGCGTTCACAGCCCTGCCCTGACAGGGAGGCGCGCGGTGCCCGGGGGCCGTCCCCGGCCTACATCTGAAGCCCGGCACATCCTGGCAGCGCGAACTCAGGTCTGGGCACGGCCTGCTCCGCCACCCCTCCTGCCAGCGCCGCCCGCTCAGGGGTGGCCCGTGCCCCGGCCACCTGCGGACGCTCTTCCGCTGCACCCCCCTTCTTCTCCCGCCCCCGCTGCTGTCACCCGGGGGAACCTCGCTTGTTTTCTGTGCTCGCTGCCTGGCTCCGGCAGGGCGGTCAGCGCCCCGGGCGGGCAGAGGCCGCGCCGCACCACGCCCGCCCTGTCCACCACCGTCTCCCCGGGCCCGGGGTGGTTCGCATCTCATGCTGGGATGAGTTCGGATGGAATGAATGGAATGAGCAAACGCAGACACAATCTGTAGAGGGTCCGACAGGCACGCGGCCACCTCTCCCCCATCTGGGGAGAACACATCAACACCTCTGGGAGCGGGAGGGGACGGGGGGGAAACAGGGCTTTTGCTCGCCTAGTACTAGCTTCTGAGGATTTTCTTACGGGGGAATCCCACGCGCGTCTCCCGGCCCTCCTCACCGATTCCCGGTGGCTCTGGGCGACCAACGGCACCACACAGAGAGGAAAAGGGGGAGAGGCACACCGCCCAGGGCGCCCAGGCCCCCCAGGCGCCCAGGCCCCGTGCGTGGTTTGCCCAGGGGCGACGGCCTGGACGGAAGGGCCACGCTCAGCCGGCAGCAGCTCTCCCGCAGCTGCAGGACGCGGACGGGGCTGTCACTCTCCACGCCCCACTCCCTCCACGAGAACGGTGTCGGGGACCAGACCACCCCACGCGAGGAAGGAGCTCTGCCCAGCCACATGACTGGTCTAAGCTGCCCCGCACAGGGGAGACGCACACAGCACGGAGATACTCACTAATTTCTATGAAGAGCTCGTTGATGTTTATCGCATTTTTGGCGCTGGTCTCCACAAAAATCGCGTGGATGGAGTCGGCGTAGTCCTTGGCGTCCCTCTCCATGACCTCCCTGGAAGGCAGTGAGTGAGAATCAGAACGCGGCCCACTGAGAGCTGCACGCTATCCCACCCACCCTGTCCTTCACAGACTCGTGGTGACAAAGGAGGCCACGGAGGGCCTGCGCCTGCGGTGCAGCCAGACGCGCCGTGCCGTGCGGCCAGCAGCAGCGCGCACAGCACAGCGGGGCGGCCCGAGAGCGGCAGGCAGGGGCTTCTCCCCCTGGAGCAGGAGGGCCCCGCCGCGGGGGTCACTGAGGTGGTCCCGGGGACTTCGAGTGTCTGTGCTTTCCTCAAACCGGGACCCCCTGCCGCGGGAGCCAGGGGCTCTGCTGGGCTCAGGGCACGCCAAGCCCGACGCAGCCGACGCCGGGGAAGTCACGTGCCCGTTCATATCCACACTCTAATTAGCTCCAACTGCTGAACTCTCAGTTTCACTTTGAAACTCCAAGACTCCCACCACACAACAGAAAAATATTTTTCAATGTCAGAGATAGAAATAAAAGCAAGATTCTTACAGTGGATGCTGCTCAGCGAGAGACGGAACACGCAATCGGCACGGCCATCTCCTGTTCTAATAACTTACCTCACATCGATAAGATCACACTTATTTCCTGCGATGGCAACCACAATATTAGGTGGGCCGTGCTGGCGAAGCTCTTTTACCCAGTTCTTTAACGTGGAAAACGTCTCCTGGAACATAAGAGAAGAAAGCAACTGGAGATCTAAGCAACCAAGAGAGTCTTCAAAATAGTCAGAAGCACACGATACACGTCTTACTTCTTTTGTGATGTCGTAAACAATTATAGCGGCGGCCGACCCCCGGTAGTACATGGGCGCTAAGGCACGGAACTGCAGAGGGGAGACACAAGACCGGGAAAATGGGTTAGTGTGTTTTCTGTGGGCTCCGAGCCCATTGCCCCTGCACAAAAGGTGGTCTTGCTCTCTGCCCAACAAGATGGCATGGTGCTTTAAAGCCAACGGACCAGTGATCACCAAAGGCAACAACTCTCCATGTAACACGGAAATGCCTCTCGGAAGGTAGTTTAGAATACAGTTTTATAGGAATTAAATATGGCGCTATAAACAACTGTTTCAGCTAAAAAGGCTTTTTAATTGACCTCGGTGTTATAATTCCCAAATTCATTTGTCCAATAGTCCTTTAAACGCGGGCTTCCCAAGTGACCACGGAGACGAACACCACGCCGCAAGCAGTTCTCCAGAGAAGTGGCTACACGGGGGGGGCGGGGGTCATCAAGAAGACCCTGACACCTGAGTGCTGACGGGGCCAGAGAAACGAGTACGCGCTTCCACTCGCGACTCGGACGAGCCTGCAGCTCCACTTCTGGCTAATTCCACACAGGTGGCAACTCCCCGAAGCAGGGAGCGACCTGGTTTCATTTACCTGAACTTAACCCTGTCCGCACAGCCTCCCCCCACCACCGCCCCTCCCTGCCCCACACACAGCAGGGAGGGAAGGACAGGGAGGAGGGGAGAGGAGTAACAACTTCTGCGGCAAGGCGGGCTCAGCCGGCCGTTCCTCCCGACGGGCGTGGGACGCTGAACCGCAGCTCTGTGCCCAGGGGCCCTGGCTCCCGGGCACGTGGGTGTGCTGGGCCGGGCCTCGCACTCAGTGCTGTGAGGCCAACATTTAAAGACAGAAATTTCGCCTGTACTTGACCTTTGTCTTTTGCCTCGACTGTGAACCCCGACCCCATGTAGAATGGGGCGCCACTGTATGCGGGCCCTGCTCTCTGCTCTGGTGGCCAGCCCCGCAGCCCCGGCAGGAGCTGATCCCGAGGGGGCGGCGTCTGGTACTCAGCACAACCCACGTACAGAGGGAGTCTGCAACTTCTCACCCAGTGAGCCTAACCTCCGGCTTCTACACTTGCATGCTGAGTTTCACAAAAGAAAGTGACACTGCGACTGCCAGCTCCAGGAGGGAAGACAGCCTGTCTGTCTACACCGTTTTCTCTCTGGGGCCTCGGGTCGGAACGCCGCGGAAAAGCCAGACCTGGTGGAGAAAGCGGGTGGGAGCTGTGGAGCGTGGGGTGATGGCAGAGCGGAGCCAGGCCCTGATGCGCAGACACCGGAGTCCCACTGGTCTCGGGGAGAGCGCGCCTGCCTCTGGGTGCGAGCCGGCTGACCCCCAGTAGCATGCGGCGGTTTGCAGACAAAAACCCAGACACACGGGCTGTGAGCGGGGAAGCGCTGCCGAGGGGAACCCGCGCTGCTGGGCGGGAACGACGGCTGACCCCCACGGGGCGTGCTCGGGCGGGACAAAGGTCAGCACCGCCTTCATTTCGGAGGCACCGTCCCCCTAACACCCTTTACAAGTTTTGGGGGGAGTTGCCTTCAAATTTGGGAGGTAAAATTCACACAGAGAAGCGCAAAAATCTTAAATTTGACCAAAGGGCTTAGGCTTTGCCCCGGCCGGCCGCTCCGGTGGCTAGAGCGCCGCCCTGGTGCGCTGAGGCTGCGGCCCCAGCGCGGGCAGGGCAGGGCACGGCAGGGGCGGGAATCCACCGAGGGACGCGGCAGTGAGCGGGACGACAAACCGGCGGCGTCTCTGTCTCTCTCTCCAATCACTCAGTTAAAAAAAGACCTCGGTTTTGGTGAGAGGACATGCATGGACGCATGTGCCCAGGTGAACAGCAGCCCACCCAGAAAACGTTCCTACCAAGAAGACAGCAAGCTCCCCGACGCCCCCTACTCAGGCCCCTTCTTCACCCCCGATGCCACCGCGGGCACCGACCGGTCGCGATGCAGCCGCCACGGTTTGCTTTGCTCGGGACTGGCACAGGGCATCCTTTTCCGCTGTTTTATCTTCCAGCCATCTCCGTTTCGGGCAGCCCCCTTCCTGGCCAGCGCGGGGCTGGCCCTGCTCGCCCACGGCTCTGTGGGCCTCTGCGGGCCGCGGCCTCCTGCGCGGGGGCGGTTCCCTCGCGTCCACCGCACTTCGGCGCGCTGGTCCGACTCACGCTCTGTCGCCGTCTCGCTGTTTGCTTTGTACTTGCTCCACTGAGAAAAAATCCTGTTCTTCCTTTAGTTCCCTCCTTTGCGTTAACTAAGTATTTTTAGTATTTAAGTATTTTAATCTGCCCATTGGCTTTTTGGCTAGACCTTCCTTCCTGCGTTACTTTTTAAGAGGATGCTCTCGTAACTACCACACACAGCTTCCCACCCCCCCCCGCCCCCGCCCACGGCCGACTCAGTTTAGCGCGGACCGCCCGTGTGGAGGACCAGAGCCTTGCAAAAATCTTCCCTTCATCCCACTGCCTCATGTGCTACTTTTGTCAAGTATTTTACATCTACACACACTACAAACTGTACAATCCATGCCATAATGTTTGCATTCAACAGCCAGTGTGCCTGGCTGGTATGGCTCAGTTGGTTGAAGCATTGTCCAATAACTGAAGGGCTGTGGGTTCGATTCCTGGTCAGGGCATGTGCCTGGGCTGCGGGTTCGAATCCCTTTCTGCGAGTGTGCAATTGCTAGTCCGGGCACATATGGGAGGCAACCAACGGATGCTTCTCTGCCTCACTGACGCCCCTCCCCTCCCCCTCTCTAACAGCAGTGAAAAAATGTCCCGGGGCGAGGAATAAAAACAGGTAAATAAATGGCCAGCAGTATTTTAAAGAAGTTGCAGGACAAAAAAGCCTTTGCATCTGCCACTGCCAGCGGCAGCAATGTTGCTGCCTCTTCCCGTGGGCCCGAGCCCCCACCGGCGCCGCCCGCTCCAGCTCCAGCCCGAGCCGCCTCCGGGGGCCGCTGCAGCCCCCTGGCGGCTGTTTACTCTGACTCCACATCTGAAGGGTAATTTTGGCAGGGTGACTTTTATTTATTTTTTTGCTTTTAGCACTTTGAGGACACCGTCCCACCGTGCTCTGTACATAACGTGTCCACCACCTCTGGCCACTTCCGAGACTTTCCTCTTTCACTCTGGTCTTCAGCAGTTTGGCCGCGATGCTCCCCGACGTGGTTTTCTTTGTACCTCTGGGCGTGCTGACCTTCTGCAGTTTGTGAGCTGCTGTTTTGCCAGATTTCGGAAATTTTCAGCCATTACTTCTTGAAACACCCTTTTTCTCTGCCCCCCCGCCCAACTCCTTCCGGGTGGCAGTTCGCAAGCATCAGACTGTGTGAGTGTGTCCCCGAGGTGGGGAGACTGTGCTCATCGTCTTCCCACCTTCTCTGTCCCCCCGACTGGCCAGCGTCCGTCTCCCACCCAGCGGGCTTCCACTCCCGATGTCCCGGGCTCAGTTCCAGCGCTCCGTTTGATCGCTCGTGTCCGTTCTGTGCAGACCCCCCCCCGCCCCGCAGGAAGCAGGTACGGCTACCTCTCCTTTAACCTCGGGACCCTCTCGACCTTCTCCGAGCAGCAGCTGGGGGCTGGCTGCGCACCGAGAGACCGGCTCTGCCTGTGGCTAGGGCAGGTCTGCTGGGCCTGCCTTTAGTCCGAGGACACAGTGTCCACTCCGGAGGCTGGTCCTTCTGCAGCTTCAATGGAAGCCCAAGGTCTCTACCGATCCCTCCGAAATGGCGGGACTGGACCCCATCCCCGAGCTCCCCTTGGCCCTCGAGGAGCAGCAGCCCACTCTCTGCTCAGTCTTGTCACCCCTCCAGCGGCTGCTTTCTGTGGGGCGCCTCGGTCTCCCCCTGTGCACTCACAATCCGGGGTCGGGCAAGGCTCTAAGGGAACGTGCGCTCAGGCTCCAGGGCTTCCCCCCTTGGTGGGTCCACCTTTCCCGCACCTCGACTCTTTGGTTGGTGGTGCTACAGCCTTCAACTCTGTCTCAAGATGCCTCAAGCTAAGACAATGGGCTTTCTGCTTGCAGTGCTCGCTCCCCCGAGCTGTGTGGAGGGGGGTGCCCTCTGGGGAGCGGCACAGGCCTGTGGGTCTGAGCCAGCGGAGCTCCCTCCGAGGGAAGGCCTCGCCCAGCAGCAGGGCCTGCGCCGCGGCGCCGCCAGACTCCCCACACAGCTGCTGTCTGCGGGCGGGAGTGTGATCCGCCTCGAGCCACCCCACCGTCCGTCTCCACGTCTGGTGCGTCGAGGGGGAAGGCGGGGGCCCAAGGGGAGGCTCAAGGGGTGTCAGCACATCCTGCTCCAAACCTGGCCGCAGAGCAGGGCCGACACACTCTGGGAAGGGCCAGAGACGCCGTCGTCTAGGCTCCGTGGGTCCGTGTTACCAGGACTTGACTGCACCACAGAGACGTGAACGCAGCCGGAGACAACACGCACACCAACAAGCGTGCGGCTGCGCACCTCCAAGTCTCCTCTACAGAAGCAGGAGCCGGAGGGAGCCCACAGGCTGCGGAGGGGCCCCTGCTCTCCCCGGCACCGAGCCACTGCTCTGGGTCCGGACGGAAACTCAGGAGCGAGCCCTCACGCGGCTACGGGGGCCGCAACGAGCCACACCTTCCTGGCGCTCTGCCTCGGCAGGGGGCGCGAGGAGACCCGCACCCGGGTTCAGGACTGAGTCTTCAAGGGCTGGAGCAGTCTCCGCTGGAGTCTGGTTAAGCAGCTTTCTTGTGCGTGAACACAGGCAACGAGCATCCGAACTGCTGCTCCGTTCGCAGCGAATCTGCGGCACGCGTCTGGGGCGCGCACTAGTGCTCGGTCCCCCACCGCCACCTCACGAGCCCTCGCCGGGGAAGGGTGACCGATGAAGAAATGCCCCCGAGAATGAATCCATTCAAGGGAGACAACAGGAATAAAAAGGTCTGACAGGCTCCGTCTTGAGAAAATAAATTTTAAATTATGGAAACAAGTTTCATTTTATCTGATACTTGAAAAAACTTCGGTTTATTACTGCAGCCAGGAGCTGGTTCCCTGGACGGGCGCTGACACGGGGCTGATTGATGCTCTGACTGTGATTCTTCCGATAAAGCTCCATGCTGGCACAGGGTGATATCCGTCCTTCCATCTCGCCTCTCCGCTGCTACTTGAAAAAGGTGACTTTTATAAAAATATTTGAGGATTCCATTAGTTTTCCGTAGTCCCGTCAGCCCTTTGAAACACAAATCATTACCTTTGGAAGCACTCTATCACTGTCCTGATGTTTTTCTCCCCATTTAACAAGGCCCCTAACACCAACGACATCCGTGGCGGCCTCCCAGCACGCCCTCGGACCCAGCGAGGCCTCTCTGCGGCCACCGGGGCTCAGGGGGACCGGCGAAGCCTGCGCAGCGGCAGCTGCGGGGCCCAGGCGGGGAGAGTGTCTGAGTGCTCGGTGCCTCCGAGAGGGTTTCCATTTCGTTCCGCAAAGAATCTCGCTACTCAAAAGAACAGAATAATAAATGTGCAAATATCAGAAACTTACACTTTGCGGCATGGGGCAAAGCCAGAGGCTCTGCCCCTCCCCACGCCGGGGCGGGGCCGGCGGTCAGAGGGCCCCGTCCGCCGGCATCCGCGCCGCGTGCTGGGGCAGAGTGCGGACTCGAGGACGGTCCCCGCCCCGGCAGGCCGGCGGGCTCCGCAGACGGAGTGCCGGCTGCGAGCTGAAGTGGCTGGCACACGCCTGGGTGGCAGGCCAGGTCCCCAGCTGGGGAGTGCAAGAGACAGCCGATTCCTGTTTTTCTCCCTCTCTCGCTCCCTCCCTGTCTGTTAAAAAACAACAGAAAAGAAGATAGTCCCCGACCCCCAAGGAGCTCCCAGGCTGACAGAAGGTAGCAAGGGAGGAACAGGTGCCAACCCCAGGGACCCGGGCAACGGACAGCTCCTCGGGATACAGAGAAATAGGCCGAAGAGCCGCCTGCCGGTGGCTTGGATGCATCGGCTCTGGGCTGGGCACCGTGCGAGGCGGCAGGGACGCAGCGGCAAGTGAACGAGACACAGTGGTCCCAGCTCTGCAAGCTTATGGTCCTCAGGAGAGACGGCCAGACAACTACAACTTGTGCCGAGGGTCCTGAGGAAAACACGTAAGGGCACTGGTGGGGAGCGAGCCGGGCGCTCTCAGGTGTGGGCCGGGAGCACGGAGCCGGGCCGGCCCGCCGCAGACCGCCCAGGGAAGACCCCCGCGCGGGGAAGAGGCAGTTCCGGCAGAGGGCGCGGCAGGTGCCGAGCCCGGCGGGCAGAGCCTGGGGAGCTGCGTGGAGGCCGGCAGGCTGCCACTCTGAGCCGGAGCGGGCTGGGTCCGGAGAGCGGTGTGGAGGGTGGGGGGCGGGCCGAGTCTGGTCCCCGGAGCGGAGCCCTGGGGGGGGACGGGACACAGGGTGGCGGGCCGGGAACACCTGGCGGAGAGCTGCACCCGGGAGCAGGGCGCTGGCGGTGGAGGTGGAGCGCAGTGAGCGGGCTGAGACGTGTGTGCGGGGGCACCGAGGGGCGAAGGGGAGGGCCGAGGGGAAGGGAGGGGCCGAAGACCACCTCCGCCGCGGGCCCGGGCAGTGTGGGCGTCGTGCGGCACTGCGGGCGCGCATCTGCGAACCGCGGGCACAGGCAGCAGCGCCCGCCTGGAGGTGACGGCAGGGGTGGGCGGGTGCGTGCCCCGGGCTGCCAGTGGGAGGGGGTCCTGAGCGGAGGGAGCCACGGCGCGAGGGCAGGCGGGTGTGAACTGCAGGGCGCCTGGGCTGGGCGGAGAGTGACGGGTGGGAGGGGGCGCAGACGGGGCCCCGGCTGAGGCGGGCCTGGTCAGGGCCTCGGGGGGCCGCGCCCAGGGCAGACCGGGAGTCAGGGTGTACCCTGCACTGTGCTCACAGCCCCTCACACAATTTACGCTTGGCTGGTAGATGCTCAGCTTCTCTTCAACGCGGGGACCTGGCGACCTCCGCGCGCACTCTGGCTGGGCGGCAATGGGCTGACCACGTGCTGACCGGTAGGTGCCCCTCTCTGGTCTCGCGGCGCGGCCCTGCGGCCAGCTCCCCTGGCCCGAGCCTGCCTGCCTCGACTGCGCCCCCAGGGAGCCCTGGCTGTGAGACGGCGCCCCCGGCGGGGGTGAGGTGGTTTCACCTCTCGGAGCCCCCGTTCCTGGGGTTCCTGGGGCAGAGTCATGGGAGGTGGGGGAACAAGAGGCAGGCAAGCAGCCAATTATAAAACCTAACAAAACCCTGCTATTACAGTAGCAGTAAGGGAGAGGCACAAACTCCTGTTACTCTTTTTTATGGTCTAGAAAAAAGAGACACCGTATGTCACCGTGTGAACTGATCCACAGCGGCAGGACTCTGCATCCCAGCGTGAGTCTCCATGACGAAGGTGCTGCTGTGTTATCACACGCGTGGGCAGGGTGACTGGGGCCTGGGGCCGGGTGGGAGGGTGCGTGTGCCCGTGGTGGGAAGAGCCGCACCGGTGCTCGGCCAACAGCACAGACAGTGGAGCTGGGCCCACAGACGTGCTGGGGAAAACTGCGGACGCAGCGCCGCTGGAGGGGGAGGGGACGGCAAACAAAGGCCCGCCCGCCCCGCAGGCTCCATTCAGAAGCACGGATGGCGCAGCGGAGGGGGTGGGAGCGAAGCAGACGGGCGCCAGGTGAGCGAGTGGACAGAGGGCGGGACACCCAGCGCCAGAACAAGCAGAAGAAGGCAGACAGGACGCACTCGGGACGGCAGGTCTGCACAGACGCGTGGCATCTCCGTCCAGGACAACGGCCGGCCCGCCTGCGTCCCCCCATTGGTCTCTGCCGGTCCCGCCAGGCTTCCTGCCACACTCGGTGTCTCCGCGGTCTCAGACAACACCGCGAGGACAGGCCTTTCCCCTGATCACTCCCGGTGCACTTTCAGGAGCCTGACACAGCACCGTGCACCCATCAGACGTTCTGTTTTGATAGTGCTGTTTGGGAAAAAATTAAACAGCAGCTGAGTCGTGGGGCGGCTGCCAGGCGCACCGTGCGTGGCAGGGAAGTGAGACTCGGGCTGGAGGGGGAACGAGGCAGCAGGCAGGTGCCAGCAGGCAGGTGCCGGCTCCCCCGGCCGCCCCGCCCGGCCCCCGCAGTGCTGTCTGACTGCAGTGGGCTTCCCCCACACCCCCTCGGCACCGCGATGCCTCTGCCGGGCTCCGCCTCCGGCTCAGGCTGCTCCTTTCGCAGACGACCGTCGTGGACCATTTCTTCGTCAGACATTTGTTAAGTGCCTATTGCAAGGCGCTGTGTTAGTGCATCCATTTCACTTAGATCCCAAACTTCTTCGCTGTGAAGTCACGTCTGTAGCTGTTACAAGGTGGCTATAAACGAGACGTGGTTAACTCTCCCCTCTGCCGCTACTTCTGTTCTGTCTGCGCTGGAGGACGGGCCCCGATGACACGAGGCGCCCCGAGCGGGGCTTTAGTCAGCTTTTACTGTAAGACACCACCCAGCGTGAAAACACCTGCAGCGCCCGTCACCGCTCGCCCCGCCGCGGCCCGATGTGGCGGCTCTCGCTGCAAAGGAGCAGGCCGGCCTCCGCAAACGGGCGGACGCGTCTCCGGCACACGCGCGTCTCCGGCACACGCGTGCGTCTCCGGCACGCAGGGGAGAAGGGAGTAACGAGACCCGGCGGGGACAGCGGTGGTTCAGGTGGGGCCTTGACCTGGGCCTTGGAAAAACATGTAGGAAATTAAAGAGTGACTTACTCGTTCTTGTCCAGCCGTATCCCAGATTAGGAATTTATGTAGCTCATTTTGGTACTGGACAGTCTTGGTCATAAAAGATGCCCTACAAAGAGAGACCTAGATGATCAGAACACAATCATTTCAAGCATGCTGCCAGCCCCAGCAGGAACCACCACTCAGACTCAGCGCACCGACTCCCGCTCCGCGCCATCCCGGCCGCGGTCCTCTCCGGGGCACTGCCGAGACGCTCGCGCGGGCACTGGCCGCACGGTCTGTGCCAAGGCAGAGAACGAGGCACGTCTGCCCGGCACAGGGCAGCCAGAGTTCTCGGACTTGGGGTTGCCTACACTCCGGGTCAGAAGAATCAAGAGAGAATTTGGCAATCCAGACATTACTCTCCCTTGTAAAATAAAGAAGTTATTTTAAAAGATGGCATCAAGGAAGAACTTTCTAGAATAGGTAGTGAGCACCCCGGTAAAAAATGCTAAGCCCTCCGGGTCTGTCCTCCCCACTCCCACACCGCACGGCCAGTGAACCACCGGGTAAGGTGGCACCGGTGTGACACCGGAGCTGCTGAGGCTGAGATGCCACCCAGGGAGCAGGAAGGTGGCCGGAGACGCACCACCCTGGCGATCACCTCCGACTCAGCTGGCCCGACGGGCCACGCCAGGGCCCGACTCAGCCCTCGACTGGAGACACAGTGGTGTGCGCTCCCGTCGCTCACCTGAGGGGCCACTGCCCGGGGGCCTTTGGGGTAGGGGTGCCCACTCTTTTGGGGTCGCATACTTCCTGGACACCCTCGGAGGAGCCACGGCGGCCAGGGCATGTGTCTGGATGCCGTGAAGCTCCTGGACTCGGGTTCGGTCCTGCCTGGGCCTGGCTCCTGAGCCACCGTCTACCCCTCCCCGCGCCCGGAGTTCCCTCCCGGGAGCCCCTCACCTCCCAGGCGCCCCCTCAGCGCGCCGACGGCCCACAGGTGACTGTGTCCCCTTTCCCACTGGATGACGAGCCTGTGGGGCCACGGGCCCCGCTGCCCCTCGGAACCGCACCCTGAGCAGCCGCCTCAGGACGACGGGCTCGAGGGCCGGGCACTTCTGAACACGCTGCACGCGCGGGGCACTGCTGAGACTGGCGTAACGGCCCTGTAAACTTCAGGACAGTGCGGGCGGAATCGATAGAATGACTCTCTGAAGAATCACTGAGCTTAGCTAAGCATCAGAATCCTTGGTTTTAAAAACCTAAATTCTGCCACAACTGAATTCCTGACAATGTTTATACAAGTTGATGGTTTAACAAGCAGCCTCCCAAACAGCGCCGGTGACGAGGGAGGGCGGGGGGCAGGAAGCAGGGGGCAGGGCCGCACTTCCGGTCGGCCCTGTTCACCGGGCGTGCCCCCCGGGACTCCCCCCCCGGCTGAGCTGGGACATCGTTCTAAGTCGGATGGACTTCAGCTTCGCTGTACAACCCTAACCCTCGACACCGCCTCGCGCCTACCGTGGGAAAGAAGGGCCCCCTCAGTTCCTCCCACCCCATGGCCCGAGAGCCCCGGGTTCCACGCTCTCAGTCAGAACACGAGGCCCGCCCGCCGCAGAGCGGAGCCTGGCCCGCAGCGGTGCACGTCCTCGGCCGCCGCATCCAGTTTTGCAGAACTGTCTCGTGCGTCCTCCCGCGTCTGGCCTACACGGGAACCTCCACCCCCAATGGAAGTCCACAAATCGGCCCCGATCTTTGAACAGGCCGGGCCGTTCTCCCTCCCGCCGTCACTCGGGCGCTGGGACCACTCCTCCAGCATTCAGGCTGAACGATGGGCAGGGTGTGACAACTTCCGCATCCGGCGTTTTGAAAAACCGCGGTGGCTCTGTGCCGTCCAAACGACACATTTTTATTTTCCAGCCTGCCATCTACTTGTCTGATAACCTTATTTTTCACCACTAAACCATCTCTCTTCACTCTGCCTGGGCAGATCTCATCACCTCTGTAATCTGAAATCCCGACCAGCATCATCTGCCGGAGCCAGAGCGCCCTTCGCAGACTCCCCCGTCTTTCACGACGCCCTGAGCACACGCCTCGCGCACACCAGGCAGGCGAGACCCCGCTCGACCGTGTGCGCCCAGCGGAAGCGCAGGCCGCCGGGACTGGCTGCGGCTGTGGGGGCGTCATGCTGGGCCCCTCAGGACACAGGAAGGCCCTGCTCTGTCCTCCCCCCCCAGAGCCCCTCTGACTGCAAGGCCTTGTCTCGGGGTGGCACGTGGGATGCGGTCTGTCAGCCCGTGATGACACGTGGTGCCTTTTAAGGACAAACGACTCAGTGCACTTAAAAATGAACCAAGCGCCGAACCGCTCCCTGACTCGCGACCTCACGCCAGCAGCGCGTGGACCCCAGGACGCAGACGGAAGACACCGCTGCACACAGCAGCCTGGGGACGTCCGTCGGGAAGGTCACACGGCAGCCCGTGGCTCCCCGAGTGGATGCACTGGAGGGCCGCAGGAGAGCTCTGGAAGGCGCGAGGAGTCTGCTGGGTGCTCCGGGAGAACCGCTGACAGTGAGGGCGCGTCCGTCTCTGGGAAGCAGGGCCTCGGGCGCACCCGTAAATCCCGGCGCTCGCGCGGGCTCCACAGTCCCGAGCAGCCGGAACTCGTCCTTCCAGCCCCCGCCGCGCCCCTCTGCCCGAGCCCCGTGCAGGCGGTCGCCGCCCGCCCACACCAGCACTGCCTCACAGGCGGCCTCCTCCCGGCTCAGGGCCGCCCGAGGCGGACCCTCGAGTCACCTCTAGTCTCTATCACTGCGGAAACTTTCGGGAAAACATTTCACACCACAAAAACATTTCGTTGAACACAAAGTTGAATAACAGAGAGTCTGGCCTCCTCTCCCCCAAGTCTGTCAAGAACAGCGTGGCAGGCAGCCCTGTGCCGCGCCCATGAGAAGGTCAGTGGTGCCCACGGGAGACCCGCTGCCCCGACGGGGCGCTCACTGCCCTCAGGCCGCTCCCTGGGGGCTCGCTGGGGTGGGCCGCTCACCCGGCCCTCTCCGTCCTGCACCGGCTGGTCTGCACCCTCCACCGTGCTACCTGACCCAGCACCGCCGGGCAGGCCAGGAGGGGCACCCCATCCGTCGCTGTCCCCAGGAGGCTCTGGGGGGAGGCCTGGCCCGGCGGACAGCTCGTGACGAGGCAGGTCTTCAGGGAGCCGCCCAAGGGTGCGCCGAGCAGAGGGAGAGTGCGGGCGGGCCCAGGGCTGCGTCCTCAGAAGAGTGGCGGTGGCGGCAGGCGTGGGACGCACGCGTGCCCGACCCGAGGACCCAGACTGCACTGCCTTCCGTGGCCAACGGGAGCCTGCAGATGCCACCAGGCCGGGAGAGTCTCGCAGCGGGGAGGGCGCCTGAACCATCCGGCGGGCCCCGTGTAACCACAAGGGCCCTCAGAGGAGGGACCAGGGGCAGTCGGAGCCGGGGAGGTGGCGCGAGATGGAGCGGGGACTGCCAGCGTGCGCCCTGAGGGCGGGTGCAAGGGCCACCAGCCGAGGCGGCCAGGAGAAGCCGGACGAGGCAAGGAAAAGCTCCCCCCTCAGAGCCTTGGGGAGGCCCCAGTTCTGTCAAGCCCCTGACTTTAAGCCAGGGGAAGTGGCTTCAGGCTTGACTTCCACGATGACATCACAGTAAGTGTGTGTTCCTGTGAGCCACTGAAGGCACCGTGGTCATCTGTTAGCAGCAGCAACAGAAATCTAACACACTGGGGAGGACTGCAGGGAAGAGGTCAAGTCCGAGCTAAACCCAAACGTCAAGGAGGGAGCAGATGGGGACAGCACGTGGGTGGGGGTGGGGGTGGGGGTGGGGCAGTGCAGTTAGGCGGCCACAGAAAAGGCCCCAGGCAGGCCGGGGGCAGAGCGTGGAGGAGGGGCCACTGCACTCCAACACCCACCCGCGTCCACGTTCCAAACGCCCTGTCTCCCGCAGTCCACATCTCCGCAGAGGCTGGGCCCCGCCGCCCCCGCCGCCCCCGCCGCCCCCGCCGCGCCTGCTGGTCCGTGCTCCGTGAGCCACCACTGCTGCCATACTGCCAGCAAGTGCTTTTCAACAACTCAGCCTTGTGCAGGCAGTGACACGTCCCCTCACCGACTCTCGGGTTCCAGGGACTAGTTTTCCCCGTCCTAACAGACAGCAGAATAATTAGCCACACGAACTTAAAAATGTTCGTCTGTGTACCATCTAAGGTCAGGCGAGGCTTTGGAAAGACGGCTGCAGGGGAGGGGAGCCGGAGAGGGAGAGGGAGAGGGAGGAGGCAGCGCCCCCCACCTGCTCGGACACGAACCGGGCAGGCAGCCCGCCCCCACTGAAGGGCCTCTCTGCGGGACGCGGGCACCCGGCGGCCGTTCGTGAGCGACACGAGCCTCTCTCTTCAAATTCTCACCCGAGAACATGTGCACTGGTCTTAGAGAGAGGGTGGGTGGGCGAGGGACACACCCACGTGAGGAACACCCGTCGGCTGCCTCCTGCGTGCACCCCAGCGGGGAGTCAGACCCGCAGCCTAGGCGAGTGTCCTGACCGAGAATCAAACCCGCAACCTTTCGGTGCGTGGGACCACGCTGCAACCAACTGATCTGCGGGGCCAGGGCTGGGCGTCTGTTTCCGAGGGCAGGACAGGGGTGGGAGTGGACACAGGCGGGGAGGCAGGACTGGGGCCCTCTGTCTACGGGCCCGCGCGAGCATGGACACGACGGCCCGACCGGGACCAGGCGGGGAGACAGGGAGGGGAGCGCGCTGGGAGGCCCCACGTGGGCCCCGGGGAAGGCCGCGGCAGGCCTGACGAGCAGAAGGGGCCCGTGAGGCCGACCCGCTTGGGCCACAGACACACTTGGGCCACAGGTACGGCAGGTGTGAACATACGGAGAGTTCTGGAAGCCCGAGGCGGGCCTCCGTCTGCCCAGGCAACTGTGTGTCTCAGGAGCTACTCCAGTCCATTCCAAATCACGACTGGACTCGTTGGTTCTCCGAATAGGAAATAATTAACATGCCTTACCGCCTGCAACGCCCCCAACGGGTACATGCTGAAACGCCTTTCCCCCACCTTCCCCCGGCCACTCAGCTCCTCACGGTGGGGGCCGCCC